CTGGTAGATGACTAATCTCCGTGCATTAGGGCAGGGCTGGCTTTGCAGCTGATGCCTTCTGAGAGGCACAGCATCAGACACCGGCCCTGTCGGAGGTCAAAGGCAGAAGCAATGAAACACAGATGGGGAGTCCTGAGGGGATGGCTGGGGAGAGCTGAGACAGAGCTGAGCGAGCGTCCGGGACACAAGTGTCCAGAGAAATAACTTCCCTCAACTGAAAATCTTTCCCTCCCTCTTTGAAAGTGTCTCACAGAAATCAAACGTCATGGTAGAGGTGAAGTGTTTTGTTTTTGCTGACGGAATGCCAGGGCCTATAAAATGTTTGGTGGTTTCCTGCCTGGCAAAAAATAAGGAGAGGTTTGAACAACAAAACTGATGGAGCACAAAGGCAGAAACGTGTTGTACCTTGGGATATTGCGTAAGGGAAGTTGCAACCACGTAGCCGAAACTGGACCTGAATGAAAGGTCAGCGCTAGCATTAATGGGTTCAAGCCGCACGCTAGCTGAAATGGCTAAGGTGTAAAGGATGTTATCCTGTGTAAATAACCCTGGAATAAAGTTCAGCTTGGTCATACAATTCAGTGGATGAATAAACAAATTGTGAGGAAAAGCAAGACAGAATCTGCCACGATGAACCCATCCCTCATCTGTTGGCTAGATAGACCTAGGGCCAGTGAGGATTTGTGTAAAGGAATGGTTGTTTTGGCTCCAGATGCTCTTATATTGTTTGAGTAAATAAATAATGCTAAATATTTGTACTGTTGATGACTATTTTAAATAGAAGGATCCTGAACATAACCAAACTGCTCTATTCACTAGCAGGTTTATGAGCATTATGCATTTATGAGTTTAATAAATGGATTGCAGTTGGCCCCCTTCCATGTTTACCTCATGGCATTTGAACTTTAATAATGCTTCAGTGCTAGTAAACTGAATCCACAGGTAAAGAAATGTCACAATAATATTATTGCTGAGCATAATAAAGTATTACAATCTTCAATTAGAGTAATATGGTGTGATATGCACCAGCGCCTTGTGTATGTAATACAGTATGTCTTGTCTGGAATAGAATTTATATCAAGAATTGCTCGGTGTTTTCAAACCTGACTCATCAAAGTCAATGGATATTTTGGTATTGGTTGACTTTGTTGGAGGAAATTCTGTCTCCTTTTTTACTCTTTTTGTGCAACAAACGTTCAGGGATTTTTGCAGTAGAAGGGACTGCAAATTTGATTGTTTTGTGACAGATGCACTCTAATTTTTTACAAATCTGAAGTTTGCAGTTTCATGGTTTGTGTATTACTCCTTGATTTTGGTATGTGTTGGAATTGAGGTTTTTTTGGGATATGGACTGACTTCTTTATTTGTTAAATACTAAATGGGATATGGCCTGCATCCTTGTTTAGGTTTTTAAGATGGTTTTGGAGTATTATCAAAGAACGTTGATAGTTCTGATATTTCTGACAAAATAAAATGGTGCCTTAATCATTTGATGCCCCAGCTTATATAGCCTATCAGTGGATGTCATCCAGAAAAGGAAAAAAAAATCAAGTCTCAAAATCTTGTGTTGTTTCTTAAGTTGCTGTTGTTTTCCAGGATTTATCTTGAAGACAGCATTCGTGCAATAGTTAGGAAGTCTGCCCTTTTTTAAAGTTGTTATTGCTTCAGAAATTTCTAGTATACACTGAAGGCATAAATAATCTTGAAGGTATAAAAAGATCTATTAGTTACTTGAATGTGAATATTAGAAAAAAAAAGTGTGCCCTTTCATGTCTATTTTACTGTAATGCTGAGTTGAAAACATTTGGGAAAGTTGTATTAGCATTGCTTACATGTTAACAAACTTTAAATGCTCCTTAGTTCTGTGTTTTATTTGGGATGCTCCTGCAATAGAGTTATCTTATTACCCTTGTAGCCTGCTCGTGATGTGAGCAAACTTGATGCTGAGCTAACAACCAGGACTAGAGAGTTGAGGTTCCTGTTCCCTTGAAAACCAGGTAGCTTAATATAGCCATAGCTTATATTTATTTTTGCAAAGTCTGTAGGAAGCAAGAATGAATCAGCAAGATACTCTTGTGAAAGGCCTGCGAAATGCTTCCTGTTGACTGGCTATAAATGTAATTTTTTAGAAGCAGAGCACCTGGGAACATGGCCCTGCGAGAGAGAGAAATCAGCAGCAGCTCCATCAATGACAAGCAAGAACAGAACTCTAGTCGTGTTATTACAATTGTCTTCCTGGCGCTCTTCATCGACTTGTTGGGATTTGCTCTCATCTTGCCACTGTTTCCTTCCATCCTTGATTATTACAGCCAGACTGAGGTAAGTAACAGAGAAAGTCAGCCTGCTGAAAATTTTAGGTATGAGATCTTTAGGGAAGGATGGAAGAAAAATCCCTTGCCTTGGAGCAAACCAAATAGCTGTAGGCAGAACAACAATACCCAGCACATTTAAATGGACTGAATTTGTTTGCGAACCTGCATGAGACTTCTCTGTTGCTTTTTCATTAAAACGAGGGATTTGTTTGGGGGAAAAATTGAGTATTTCTTAGGGGCTAGTCCTTGTAATTACCAGTGCGTTTGTGACTTAGACTGTTGTCACTGGTGAGATAGAGTAAGGAACAATCCATAGTGGATCTGCATACTGGGTTTTATCTAAGAATGAAAGAAATAAGCACTTCTACCCTACTTGACTATTTCACAGACTCACTTGCTCCCACCCCCAGCATCACGTTCACTAGGTCTCAACTTTCATTCTTAGCAGGGAGCTGGCTGCTGGTCTTGGAATATAGGGCAGAAAGTTGTGTTGGTTCCCTGCTGTGCAGCTGCTCACAGTTGCATTCTCAGGTGTTACTGGGCAAGATGAAGATGTTGTCAGGGAGAATTATTTTTGCAGCCTACACCTCTATCACAGCCCTTTTCCTTCCACACTCCAACTGAGCTGTAGGCTTTGTCTTTCTTACAACTCTATCTCTAACCCTAACCATGGGGTCTGATCTCCAGGCTCTTCCCCCACTTCCAGTGTATTTCCTATAGCAAATATCTTCATCTTCTTGTCAGGTCCTCCTCCTCTTTTCAGGAACCGTTCTTTTTTGCACCACTTCTTTCTGGACCTACAAGCCCCTGGTTCTCCCAGTCTAAATAGTGTATGTGCAGAGGGATAGAATGTGTCTCATGTTGCTTTATTAACTGAAGGTGAATCCATGCCACTTTTGTTCAAGTTTTAGCAAGTAGCAGGCCTGATGGTTTAAAAAAGTTCAAATTCAGACATTCCACCACCCAAACCCATACGCCCAATTATCTGCTGCCTGTTAGCATTCACAATTTAAGCTATTTTTAGCTTGTGACAACTGATCAGCAAGGAAATTTTCCCTGGGGGGAGGAGGAGGGAAGGAATCATCTAACATTGTATCTAGATCACTAAGCTCTGATACTGTCTTTGAAAATGAAACAGAGAAACTGTCTTCCTGCTTCTATTTCCCACCTATCTGTTTTGCAGGATGGATTCTATTTGTCATTGCAACATGGTGTGGACTGGTTTGCAGTGATGGTTGGGATGCCTCCGGAGCGGAAATACAACAGCGTGTTGTTTGGAGGTATGGAAATTAAACGAGCAAGCTAATAGACAAAAAAAAAAAAAAAGTGTTTTCATGTTATTTGCAGTGTTGATAAGAGGAATAATGAGAAAAATGACAAGAAATACAAAAAAACATGCTTGCTTGATATTAGATTTAGATTTAAATAACACAGAAAATGTTCTCTTACAGTAGGCTATAAATTATTTTGTTTTCATCACACTGATAGCAATGAAGGGTTGGACAGCCCCATCTCTGTCGTTTGGAGACACCTAGACAGGCAGGAAGAACAGGCCAACAGGAACCTTATGAAATTCAGTAAGGACAAAGCCCCTGCTTTGTCTCATGCGAAGTCCTGCCCCTGGGAAGGAGTCATCCCTTGCAATGATACTGACTAGTGGGGAGCAGCTCTGCTCCTCTGTAAAGGCCCTGGGGGTCCTGGTGAGCAGCAAGCTGAGCATGAGCCAGCCCTGGCAGCAAGAGCACCAATAGCACCTGGGCTGTATGAACAGAAGCAGAGACAGCAGATTGAAGGAAGTGATTGTCCCCCTCTACTGAGCACTTGTTAGACCACATCTAGAACATTGCATCCAGTTTTGGCACCCCAGTACAAGAAAGACATCAATAAACTGCAGAGAGTTCAGCAGAGGGTCTGGGGAGCCTGGGCTTGTTTAGCCTGGAGCTATTAGCACCCTTCCAATACCTGTGGGAAGGTTATTGAGAAGACAGTGAGGCACTTCACTGTGCGTGCGTGGTGGGAGAAGGAGAGGCAACAGGCATAAGTAGAAGCAAGGGAGGCTCAGACTGGAAATAAGGAGGAACTTTTTCATAGTGAGGATGGCCAGTGGAACAGGTTGCCCAGAGAAGTTTGGTAGTCTCCATCCACAGAGGCTGTCAAACCCTAACTGGATGAAACCCTGAACAATCTGGTCTGACCTCATAGCTGACCCTATGAGCAGGTGGTTGGAGTCAGTGACCTCCAGGGGTCCTTTTTAACCTGAATTATCCTATGATCTTGCCCAATTTGTACAGATTGCTACAGAAATACAGGCCTGCTGTTCCTTATTGTCAGACTGCCAGCTAAAGGGCAGGAGCCCGCTGGGCTAGACCCTGCACAATCACAGAAATTACTCTTCCTTAACCATTGATCTGCACATGATTGGAGATCAATCAGTAGGAAACACTGGAATTAGAAGCTTGTGACTTCAGATGTCACCTCCCTGCTGGGCAGCTATAGTGCAGCACTGCTTCTAAATCTCATTAGTGCTATTAAAAGCAGGAGAGCTGCTGACTTGCAGGGTCCAGAAGCATTTGCTGTCACTAGGACACTAGTGTGGGTGAGCTCCACCAGGAGTAGTGCAGGAAATCCAAAAGCATATGTGTCATGTTACACATCAGAGGCCCTTTTGGCTCCTTGTGATCTACAGAGTTGTGAGGAAACTGGGATTTCAGAGCATGAACACGTCAGGGTGTCTGGGTTAATTTTACTTGGAAATGTCTAGACCCTTTCCTTTCAGTGAGCTGAGGCCTCCCCCAAAATAAGCAAAAGGCTTTTACACGGAGTGGGGGGGGGGAGACAAAACTTTATTAGAATGTAAGTATGAAGGTATTGTTACTATTTAAAGTATTTTTGGGGGGGTTTAACAGCAATTAGAAAGTTTAAAAACAATTTTCCTTTTTCCCACAGTGTCCTTGCACACATGTTGTTTCTGTGCTCATTTTCAGTCAGATTACTGGCTTTGAACAGTAGGAAACACATTTCTTTAATCACTCAGAATTGGCTTTCTGTCTCTTCTAAGGCCTGACAGCATGCCTCCTCCTTGTTCCTTCTCTCTATCTCAGACTCTGTTTAAACAAGCGGCTGGGAGCTCACAGTCATTGCCTTTCCTTTTACCTGCTGTGTCCCATACTCTTGGGAGTGCTGTCTCCCTTGACTTGGCCCATTTGCTTTCAAGGGGAAGGATAAATCTCCCTGCTCCTTCCAGAACAGTCCAACTGACACTTTTCTCGTTTGAAGAAAATATAGCATCTAACTGGGAACACACAAATAAAATAGACACTGTTTGTCTCAGAAAGGAAGCTGGCATCCCTTGCTGTTTTCTCTCTAGGAGAAGAGTATTGAGAGAAAAGTATTTAGAAGCAGTGTTGAGTAGTGATGGGAATGTTCACTAATTACCTGGCAGCCACAGGCAGTGAGGGTGCAGACAAGGTAGCTGGTATCTGTCATATTTGACTCCATCTCTTCTGCTGGCTTTGATGACAGCTTTTCTAAATGAGTGATCTAATTTGCTAAACCAGCAGAAAACTTTTTTTTTTTCCCCTTTTTTCCCCACATTAGTTTTCTGCCCGATTGAGTTGAATTAGCTCACTGGAGAGTTGACCAAGGCTGCAGAAGTAGAAGATGGACAAGCTATCTTGGGCATAGTCAGCTCCTGTCTCAGTCCATTTTGTTTGATTGCACCTTAAATGGTTATAGTAGAAAGGTTCATTATACTTGTGATGTTATGCAGAGGCCACTGCAGTCTTCCTGCAACCTTCATTGCCTTCATCTGCAACAAGGAGCATAGGATTGGAAAGATACTTGCAAGATCATCTTTTTGCTTCTCCCAGTGCAGGATGTATTTTGCTCTCTTTCATCTTTGCTTAGACTGCGACCTCTTCAGGGCAGAAACCTTCCCTGCCCTTGTCAAGGCCCTGAGGGCACCAACAGTTAGTTTCAGTGACCAGCCTTCACCCACACGCTTTCTGCCCAGTGATTCAGGAGCTGTATTTCAGCCTGGGCCTTGCCTGAGTATAGTCTTGTCTCTGGGGCTGTCTCTGGCCCTGTCTCTTGGATGGACCTTGCACCTATGTATAACCCTGGCCTTGTCTAGGACTGCCATGGACCCTGCTACGACACCCTGCTCTGCCCAACCCATCTGGACTGCACCCTGGTTGGTGAGGGCACTGCCAGTGCTGTGGTCACACTCAGCTCCTGGCTCGTTCCCCGAGTGGAACAGCCCTGCTCTTGCTGTTCCCTGGCTGTGAAGTGTTTGGCACATCTGGGTGCTTCTACAGTGCTAGATATACAAGGGAGAAAACTTGTCCGTTATTAACACAAACTGCCAGTTTACCAATCTATGTAAGATTTTTTTACACAGTTTTTTGAGCTTTTGAGCTATCACAAGCCGCTGTTCTCCCCAAGGTGTTCAGTATCAATATTCTGCCTCCCTCAAAGCTGATGGGAGCAGAACTTCTCGTCTCTCCTCTGGCTTTTAAAGCTTTGATAGCTGAATGATCTGAGACATATAACCCAGTTTTTCCTTCAGAGAAAAACTGACAGCAAGGCATTTTTTGCCTGCTTGTTCAGAGTATAGTGCAAATTACGAACTGTGTGAAGCTAGAAATGGCAAGAGAAAAGAAGAATTAAAGATCACAGAAGCTAGAGGCAGATTTCAAAAGACTCTGGAGTCTGTTGGAATTACTCCTACCTCTTAGGGTGCCTCGCTAACAGCAGTGCTTATATCCTTCTTTCCATGATAAGAAGGAAAGAAAAGCTAATTAAGTGTGACAGAATCAGATTCAAACAATCAAAAAAGTCTTAAAAGAACTGTGACTAGTGAAGACTGCACCATCTCCGCTTTAAGAACAGAAAATGTATGTAGTCAACTGGGGAAGCATCGGAGAATCAGCATTCCATTATAACCAGTGAGTTTCAAACCTCTTCTCACCAGTGAAATAGCCAGGGAATCATCCAGTTTATGCCTGTTACTCTGGTCTGTCTGTGTATCTGGTCTGTCTGTATTTGCCACCTTAGTAAAATAACAGTGCAAGATCAGTATTTTGAGGGTGGCTTAGTTTCAGAGATAAAGCTGGGTTTTTTTATAGCTGTTGTTTTAATTGTGCACTTTTAAAGGACATACTGGAGTGACAGGTCTGGAACAAGTTGGCTGTCTTTATATTTAAGATGAAGGCAATGAGTCTAATGGTATATGTTTTGATGTTTGGTTTTTTTTAGGTCTGATTGGCTCAATCTTTTCCATCCTACAGTTTTTTTCCTCTCCCCTCACCGGTGCTGTCTCGGACTGCTTGGGCAGAAGGCCTGTCATCTTGATGACAGTGGTATGTGTCTCATACTGATGTTAGTCATGCCATCTCAATATACAGTTGAAGGCACTATGGTCTTGTGGTTAGCACAAAGGATTGGGAAATTGAACATTCTAGGTCTGTCGGTTGTTGACTGCTTCTTGCCAAGCCACTTGACCACACTTCCAAATGTGAGTCTTAAGCTGAGCTTCCCAGATCCAGAATTATACATAGAAGGTACCAAAATACCTATCTATTTCTGGGATTTTCCAGAATCCTTTTCCCCTATGTACAGGAGTATGACTTCAGATGCTTGGTTTACAAATGTTAGATTTAATCCCTGTATATTTTAGTTACCCAAGTGACTAATGAGGACTGATCACTTCATGACCTATTTCACAGAGCCTGGGGATTATTGGTTAGGCAGTGCTATATAGATGTAAGATGTATTTCTCATGAACATGAACATTCTCCAAAACGTTTTCTCTGTTGCTGGTATGAGGTTCTAATTACAGCAGCAGTGCAGAGCAAATGCGTACATATATGGAGGAACTTGGCAGCAAATGATATACAAATCCCCCTATCCTGTAGGCTTGTGAGGAGTGAATTAAATAAACATGCATGCTGATGATTGATTATGAAATTTAAGGGCTAGAACTCTGAATTCTTCTTATTTTGAAATCAGAATTCTCTTGAAGTTCGAAACAAGTGAAGCAGGGTATACAAAAGTGCTTTTGTGCCCAGGACTGATTTAGCTCCCTTTGAACTTTCTTTGCTCTTTTAATTTTATTAGTAATCTCACATTTATATGAAGTTTTATATGGATTTGTTTCTACTTCTTTTTATCACTGTCCAGGAAATAGTGCAGTATCAGTATATTCAGACATTTCTGTTACCTGGGTTTTGGAGCAGCTGTTGAAAACAAACAAATAAATAAAACACATGTTTAGCTGGGAAATATGCAGAAATTATATCCACTTTGCTCTGCTTTATAAAGAACCCTCTCTTGCTTCTGCAGATGGGTTTGATAACATCATACGCGCTATGGGCTGCCTCTAGGACTTTCGGCGTTTTTCTTCTCTCCAGGATCATAGGTGGAATAAGCAAAGGGAATGTCAGCCTCTCCACAGCTATAATTGCTGACTTACACTCTCCAAAAGCACGGAGCAAAGGCATGGTGAGTTACACATGTGGGGTATATGTTTGGGTTTTCTGGGTAACTTTTAATTGATTTCAGGTGCTCAGAATTTCTTCCTCAGGTGTGTATTCAGTGATCAAGTGAAAACATGACTTTATATACTACCTCACTCCTGAAAAGATGTCAGATCATTTTGCTGGTGAGCTCTCAGACTTGACTTGTCAATGACTTTTACCTACAAGTGAAAGGCAGATGCCCTAGAGGTGGGAAAACTACTTGTGTAAGTGTTATAACTGTTACTCCAGCTGATAACTGCGATCCTCATTATAGTCGTTGAGAAATCAAAAGGTCTTATGGGCTAACTTTGGTAGCTGGAAGCCACTTATAGGACAACCCATGCTTCTTACCTTCCCAAACTGTGGAAGCACAGCAGCACTGCACAGCACAGCATGCCTCCTGACTTCCTTGGATGCTGCGCTGGCTTCAGGATCTGAGCTCTGCGGGTAAAGGATGTGGCATTTGGCTGACTGAGCAGCAAGTAATATGAACAGCTGCCTTGTCCTCTTCCAGAAGGCAGTGGACCAGATGCAGAAACACCCTGCAGGCTGTACTTTGCCTGTGAATTACCAGTTAGATCTTTTATCTTATGAAAATCTTAGGGACCCAAACTTCTCTTAACAGATTGTTATAAGCCGCTATGCGGGACAGCTGCTTCTTGGGTGGGGAGAACTTTATATTTCACAGTGATAACTAATGAATTTTCCAATCAATTTATTATAGTCCTGGTGAGCGAAAGTATATTTTTATTTATGGAGCAGGATAGCCATACAGCACTAGTAAATAAAACGGGTCAGGGCCTATTTTTAGCGCCTCAGAGCAAGTCACTTAGTACAGCATGGCTCAAATCTATATGGCTATGCTCTTGTTTTTCAGAGCAGAGTAGGCATGTTCATTCTGCTTTCAGGGAAGACAATAGCATTTGACTGATGCTATTCCTAAACTGTGATGGGGCATTGCCTGGGAGAGTGCAATCTCTGAAACAGCAGTGGAGACTGTGACGTGACACCTGAGTGTGCTCTGGCCTTGTTTAGTTTAATACTATAGGTATAGTTAAATAGACTCAGGAAAGCATGAGGATCGTGTCCTGGATGACACGTTTGTGTCCTACATATGCCAATAGACATCTCTGAATGTGTCTTAAAGAAAATGAGCCAGATCTGCACTGATGTATTTTTAAGCAATCTCCCAGAAGCTGATGACTCAAATCAGTCCTCTTTTAAGCTCTCATCCCATCAGTGTGTACAGATTCTACCTCTGTGCTGGTTTCATAGCGAGTTCATAAATCCTCTTTAGTACTTGTACTAAATTCGGGTTGTTCTGGGAAGCATCTCAGCCTCCTTGCTCTATGAGACATAAATTCCTAAATACAGAAAATGCCAAAGTGTTTCAGAAGCCATAGACATCATTATGAATTCCTACCATGGTGCTGTCCTCCCTTCTCTAGTTTTACTCTGCAGAAGTTTATTCTATGGCTGAAGGATCTGCTGGCTGAGCAGTCCCTGAGGTGAGAATCATTATTTCCCTTCCCAACTTCCTTTTACTCATAACCATGTTACAATTTGTTCCTTCTACTTTCCTGACTAGACAGAAAATAAAATCAGTTATTTGAAAATAACAGTTTTTTCACACTCAACGGTTGTTGCTGTGCACTCCCCACATCCTCATTCTGTATCTGGTTGCATTTCTTTAAGGTAAATGCCAGAAAATCCAAATTGTTTTAGAACTGAGCTACCTGAACAAACTGGTGTCTGAAACTACATGTCTGTGTTCATTGTTTCACTGCAGGCAATGATCGGCGTTGCTTTCTCCCTTGGTTTTACTCTGGGTCCCGTGATCGGAGCATACCTGGCCATGGAGCCAGAGAAAGGAGAAGTTTTCTATCTTCGTTCAGCATTATTAGCACTCATGTTTGCTGTGGCTGATTTAATTTTCATCTTCTTCCTACTTCCAGAGACACTTCCCAAGGAAAAACGGGTAAATGGACTATCAGTCTGAAGATCTATGTTTCTTGCAAAAGCAGTATTGCTGAAATACTGGAAACAATGAAGAAGGGGCTGAGCTAGTATCACGGGAATTTAGCTCATTGCTGGGACTGGGATTTAATATTATTATTCAGGCTGGTGTCAGAGTGGTTGCATGATAGTCCTACCTCCTAGCCAAGTGTAATATGAGAAATTCTTCATAGTTAACATATCTGCTTAACTGCTGGTTTTGGTGTGTTACCTTTAATTTTCTCAAAAACTAATGGGAGTCTAGGAGGAAGAGGGTGAATTTTAAACTATGATCACAATGACTCACTGCGATGAATTTCAGCTAATCATAAAAGTAAATGCATCAGAGACTGGATTTTCTTTCATTTAGCCAGTATACGTTAGAAATTTTCTTAAGTATCATCTTGTCTTTACTTCATTATTTTGAACACTCAGGTAGCAAATGACTGTTATGTCTGAGCTGTGCTGCCTTCCACAGATACAAAATATCTACATGTGCTAAAATTCAGTGACTGGATTTGTGGGGCCAAACATTTATTAACATTCTGATCTAGTATCATGTGATCAGTCCAAGATATAACTGATTAAAAGTCTCTTGGAGCAGTCTCCTTTGGAATTGTGGGAGAGACTGAATTCAGCCCTAGGTATCTGGGTGAAGCAGTTGATTTGAGGCTTTCAGCCAGATTGGATCTTTCCTATTGTCCCTTGTTTCTAATCAGCACTCAGCTGTCGAAGCGTGCTTGGTCTCTGGATAGCCAGACCCATTTGACACTGAGAATTGTTCAGGAAACTTTTGTTTGCAATGCTCCTGCCAGGGCAAAACTTTAGACTTTCCCTGAGTGTTTCCCAGCAGGTTGCGTCTCATGAAATTGGTTGCTTGTGTTATCTTTCCAAGCACTACAGCTATTTTATTTTATTTTTTTAACAGCTCTTTCATGTGTCATTTGTTCCCCTTTCCTATTTGGCTGTATCTAAACATTCTGGATAAAATCCTGTTCTTGGTTAGAGCTGCACGCTCTGGAGAGGTGGCAACATGTTGACATAGGGAAGTGCTGTAGAGCGAATCTATATTCTATAAACAATTCCACTTTGCTGCAGAGGGATAAATGGCTTCAGCACCTTTTAGGACGGTATGATAACTAAATACCTCCCTCCCCCTTTTATTACCCTCTTGAGAGTTCTTCTGATAAGCTAGTCTGTGTTAGCCAACATGGCTGAATTTTGATAAGAAAATGAGTGTTCTGTCCCTGCCTTTTAGGGCTCCATCTCTGTGCAGCAGTGAGTGTTGTGTGAGATGGATTATTAGGTGCCTCTCAGGGTCAGGTCCCAGTCATGCAAAATGCACAGGGTGTTTGATTGCTGATGAGATAGTGGTTTGTCTGGCCTGGAGCTTCTTGTGATTGGTATCAGAGTTAGTGCTTTTGTGCTGTCTCCTTTCAGCCTGCATCTGGACAGCAGGCCCATGTGATTTATGCGTTCTAGGGTATTTGTAGTTTCACTTATTAGGCTGCTTTGCTCTTTTCTTGGGTAATTCCTCCCACTTTCTGAGTGGGATGAGAGCAGTTTTCTTGGCCCGTGGATGATGGAGGAAAGGCAGGAATGTTGGCTGCCTTTCTGCAGCTTGGCTGGGCTGAGCTGGAACAGGTGCTTCCAGAGTATAGTGTGGATGTGTTGGACGGACAAAGCTGTAAAAAGAGGGGAAATGGTAATGATAACCAATAGGAGGATGTGCCAATGGGATCAGACATCTGTTTCCTTGAGATACACTCTGTTCTTATCATATTCTTGTTTCTCTATCAGTCCTCTTTCCACAGGAGAGAAGACCAAGTGTTTCATATTCATCCATGTTGGAATTAACTTGTAGAAAGGGGAAGGTGGAAGGGGACAGGAGGAACAAGGATGAGTTTTCATCCAAAGAGAAACAGAATTTTTGCTATTCTTCTTTCCCTTTTTTCAACTGTTCCGTAAGTTTATGAGGTGAAGAGTAACCAAAGAACTGTACCTTTGACCTGTCAGAGACACTGGTCTTTACATGAAGTGGCCAAAACAGCTCCTGCTGTGACCTGCTTGGGAGAAGGGAGGAATAGAAAGGTGTCTAGTAGAATCTGTCCCCTTTAAGAGCTTTCGAGTTAATTTTTAGCTAAGCTAGTCATGGGCAAGGCTGCCGAGCTGGACAGGGGGTCTTAACAACTTTTTTTTCTGGTGTCCAGTTAATTCATATAAGGACTGTGTGTAGGGCTATGCAGCATCACAAGCAGACTCATGGAAAAACAAGGCTTTTGCTCTATGGATGCTAAACAGTGTCTGGTTTGAAGGGTAAGGCTGGAGCTTCAAAGGCCCAGGCTGCATTCCTGATTTGGACTGGCTCTCTGCCTTCAAGACCTGTTAGTCTCTCTGCATTAGAGAAAACAGTAAACAAAGACATTGTGAAAAATGGCCACCATTGAAAGTGACTTTTGGGGTGATCATAGAATTAAAATTGAATCATTTAGGAGTAATAAATAATAAGCATAGAAATTAAATACAAGTTAGATGATGTAGATTTTGAACCTGTGAAGAATCTAAACTCCATGCAGCTGGTGACATTGACTGAAATTGACAGCGTATACTTTGTTATTTGGGGGTGGTGAAACACTTTTGTAGTTCTAGAACAATGTTTTCATTATTGATCAGTGGATGAAGTCACTTCTAGACCACTGCTTCTGGGGCAAAAATAGGAGAAATTAAAAGAAATTTGCATGCGTGTGCAAACACACACATATATTTAAAAAAAAAAGTCTAATACATATATATACACTTCATAAAACACTTAAGATTTTAAACATATACATATATAATGTATATCCTCAGGACCAAACTAAAATCAGCCTTGGTAGTAAAAAGCAGCTTGGCACCCTGTCTGATGTGGATAATAATTCAAAATAGGTACAAACTACTGGTTTTTTATTACTGGCAAACATGCTTGAAGAGAGTTGCTTGTTACCAGATTCTCAGTGCTGTAGTACAAACACCATCATGCCAACAAATGCAGGAACTGAGGATTGCTACAAGCCAGCTTCAGGAAATCCTCTTACAGACCTTTTCAAAGCATGAGGAAACTTCTTGGGAGTGTCTGTTTACTCTCTGTGATACATGCAGTGGAAGGAGTAATAAACATCCCAGTTTGTTCTATGTGGATCAGCAGCTTTATGGCTTTACACGAAACCAGCCTGGTATGTTGAACTGGTTGTTGTTGAGACTAATGGGCTCCAGAGCTCTGCTGTCAGATACTCAGAAGCTCTGACTATCACAAGACAGAGGTCATGTTAATACCATATTGAAGGCTGATTTGTTTATAGCTTTATTAAATCCAGTCCATATGAGTCCTCAGGTCATGCACTGAGATCAAGTTCCACTGATAATTTGACCTTTATTCTCTGCCTTCAAGGGGGTAATAGCTCCCTCTCTCTCTATCTGGGAAGAGAAGGAAGCTCACCAGATAAAGTCAGTGCAGTGCTTTGAAGATGTGAAATACTAAGTGTGATTATTCAGGATTCTTGAGTCTGTCTTATCTCTTCATGTAACTGTCATGTAAAGTGACAGTCTAAATTCTCCTACTTTAAAAGGAATTGTTTCCCTAAGAATTTAGACATTATTTCTTCTTTAGTATTTTCTTTAGTTTTCTATACCTTTAGAATAAAAATAAATTAAAAAATTAAACCCCCTACAGATGAAAGAATAAGCATCTCCTAAGTTCCTGTTCATAGAGATAGTGCCAGCAGATACACAGTTAGCTTGAGATGTATGGAGTACAAGGACCAGAAGTGCTACAAAATAAATCTTCCTTTTCAAAAAGCCACACAATGTGGCTGGCCAGAATATCTCTAGAAATCTCTAAAATCTCTCCAAGGAATCTCTCTAAAAATTGTATTTTCCTTTTCTTCCCCAGGAGGTGTCACTGGCTGGCTAAAAGAACAACCAGTACCAAGACAGACCGTTTGATGTGCTACACCTACTGTTCTCAGAGCTGTAGCACACAAGCAAATCCCCAGTTTCCCATGAGCTTGCAGGCAGATGTGCCGTTATTTTGCCAGTACATGCTCATTGCACATGAGGGGTGATGCAGAAAGTGAACCAAATAAAGCCACCTTTAAGGCTGTGGAGAATGAGCCTCTTCTGTGTTTTAAGAACTCAGGGAAGAACCAGTTTTCTGTCTTCAGTGAAAGCTGCTATCAGTGCTCTACCTTCTAGTTATAGTGCTGGAGCGGTTCAGTGGTCAGAAAGTCTGGCCTGTTATTGGGTGTCACTCAAACCCCAACGCCAGTTACCTTGTTTCATCTCAGATAATTTGTGTAGGTGTAGATGCACATTTGACTGTTACTGTCAGTTCCTTGCAGTAGTTATTACATCAGGTTTTTAAATAAACATGTTTCTGTCTCTGATCAGGTCTCTTCTGTGATGTCTGGATTTCAAGCAGCAGTTGACTTGCTCAGTCCTTTAGCTTTATTTCAGTTCTCTGCAGTCACCAGAGGAAAACAATCTCCTTCAGAGGAGAGTAAGTGTTAGCTGGCTTTTTATATTAATATTGTGTATTTTTTTGTATGTGGTGGTAGTTTCTAAATGAAAACTCAAACCATTTCAGAAGCAGCACTCTGTTCACTCATTTAAAACCCACCTTACAAACTTATGAACAGGGAATCCCTTGGATGCTGGTCCTGTTATTCCCAAAAGAAGGTTTTAGAGATCAGTGTTTTGAAGATTTCTGACTTGCTACTTGCTTTTTCTTCAGGCGCTGACTGCAGCATGGGATAGGCTGCAGTAAGTGAAGTGACTTAAAAAGATGGATCAAGGCATGAATAAGGGAGATGTGAGTTTCCTTATCCAAGCTGCAAACCAGAAAACTTCAGGCTGGAATTCTATTATTTATGATTTGAGCTGGCCATTTCTCTATATGAAATTATTTAAGCCGTAGAAAATAAGTCAGTGTTTTGCCAGGTACACCAACTTGCCATTCAGTCCTTGCTGCTGCATCAGGAAGAGAGTAGTATTTGCCACTTTGAGGAAAATCTGTTAAAACCCTGCATTGGCAGAAAAACAAGTAGGGTAATCTGTCACAGGCCATTTGTAGCTTAGGAAAAGGGATGCTGTGCTTTAGCCAATATCATCCTGACAGCGGCATCAAGGTATTGGAATGAAGATATTGATTAAAAATAAAGAACTAAATCCCAGTATAGGTGGGAGTGTCAGTGTGAGGGAGAGGGGCTGCACTGGGTGAGTTGAGACCAGGGTGACCCAGAAAGAGATCAGTCTTTTTGGCTCTCCTCCCCTCATAAGAAGGGAGGTAGTGGGCAGAAGTCATTTTGTGGCATGTCTTGTATGGGTATTTAAAATGAGTATCTGAGGTGAGAACTTTTCCCTGTGCAGTTGATAAATGTTGCTGTACTATTGTTATATTTTCAAGCTATGCTTGAAAACACCACTGTGTTTCTCTTTTTTTTTTTTTCTTGGTGTGTGTTTGTTTGGTTTTTGCTTGTTCAGATCTTCAGAATCTCAAAATCTTCGGCCTGGTTTATTTCCTGTACCTCTTCCTGTTTTCCGGCTTGGAGTATACGCTGAGTTTTCTCACTCACCAGAGATTCCCATTCAGCAG